AAATAAGAGTGGACATCACTAAAAACTAAAAGTATATATTGGATTCCATGTACAGTAAAACCTCTATAAATTAATACTCTATAAATTAATAATCTCTATAAATTAATAAATTCTTCCGGTCCCGAGTTGGGACCAATGTAAAATATGACATAAATCGATAAATTAATAAGATAATAATTTTTTTGAAAATCTCATATAAACATATGGTCCCATCGATATCATAAATTAATAATTGTATAAACTTATCAATATATATATATATATATATATATATATATATGATATAAATTTATATATGTTATATTTGAATTACTATGATATATATATTTAAAGTATTCTATGAAAACAATTTAATAAAATATGACTCTATTATTCAAAAAAAGTTTGTGTTGTTTTTTTAAACTTAATAATTGCTTCTCTACTTGTAATTAGTTTTTAAACGATATTACTTATAAAGAAAAAAAATTCTTTTTAGATAAAATGTTTTTAAGAAATTACAAAATTAGTAAAATCTCTCTATAAATTAATAATTATTAATTTATTGATAAATTAATACCTCTCTAAATTAATAAAATTTGCTAGTCCCAACATTATTAATTTATAGAGGTTTTACTGTATATGTATAATCTCTATACTATTAAAAGAGAAGTACAAATGCAAATGGGTCGGGTCAAAATCAGAAAATTGATCCAAAATTCTGAAATCGGATCTTTGAATTTTTTTTCGAATATGATTTCTAATTAATATTTAATAATGAAAAATCGAACTAAAATAAAATATTTATTGAAATCAAATAAAATATGATTGTATTTATGGTAACTAATTATAAAAGCATATTCCGAACAATACTATACATTAATTACGTATAATATATTTGTTCATATATTTTTGGAACTAATTCCATAACAATCAACGTTTTGTCATTAATTTTGCTTATTTTAGCCAATTAGCGTTAATTGAAAGATATCTTACTTGCTTCAAAAGATTTCTAGAAAATTTATCACAAAAGATATATATATTGCTTATTTTGGTCGTGTAAATTAAATAGATATGAAATCCATGTAACTAATTTTAATTTAATTAAATTAAACGAAATTCTGGTATTTTCATACTGATAGCTTACCAAAGAAGTTTAATTTTAAAATTATAAAGATTTCTTGAATATAATTTTTAGAATTATTCAACAAGATGATAAATATTTATTAAATTTTGCGAATCATAAAAAATAATAATTAATTTTTAATCGTTATATTTCACCTTTCAAAGTTTCAATCTCTCATCTAAGAAATAGGATATAGATTCTATTATTCCTATGTCCAAACTCTATTTTGTTGTATGACTAAATAATATTCCCACTAGAGCTGTCAAAGCGAGTTGATTCGTCCTGTTAAGCCCGTTCTGTGATAGGCAAAATAGATTTTGACTTATTGTTAGTTGGTCCACACGACCCGCAGATAGCATATATGAAACACAAAATCCGTCCCGCGAATGTATGCTGATTTGCGGGGTTGTCCGTGGATTTTGTTTAAATAATTTTAAAGTAATGAAAATTTAAAATACTACTAAAATAAATAAATAAATAAAAATTAGAGGAAATAATTTTATATCTCATTATATTTATAAATATTATAATTTAATTTATTAAAAGTTTTTAAATTACCAAATGTTGAATAAATTATACTTTTATCAATAAATACTAACATGCGGGCTGATCCGCCAACCCGCGGACGAAAACCGATTAAAACCTATGATCCACTGCGAATCAATCCGTGTGACCCGTTTATTTACGGGTTTAATATATTTTCACAAATATGCCCCATAGTGAGATGATTTGGGCTCGACCCACGGTTTTTGACTTATTTTTACTGCTCTAATTCCTATGAATCATCTAATTTTAGAATTCTAAAACATAAAATTCTATTTTTAATCATAATTAATATGATCGGTTTAATTATAAACAATTTAACATTTTCTCTACAATTCTTTATTATGAATATTTATAAGTACACTACCCGATTCGCTCAACTTAAAACACGCACTATTAAAATCAACGTATGTAAACCAATATTCTCCCGTGGTGGACCGCGGGTCCGATCCTAGTCTAATAAGAAAATAGGTGTTTAACAAAAATAAAATAAGAAAGGAGGTATTCAGCCAAAAAAGAAGAAGAGAATATATGTGCATTAATAAAATAAATTTGATCAAATAATTGTGCATATGTAATGATTGTTGTGGCCATACTAAAACACTTGACTTGCAATAATTCCGTATTATACATTTTTTCAACAACCAATCCACAAAGTCCCAACCTATGATTACTAAATCATAAGTACCTTTGGTTGAAGGGTTTATACAAACATATTGTTTTAATACAAAAATATTTCCCTACCATAAATTTTGTTATAACAATTGTTAGAAAGAACACTTGTTTAAATTAGCTTGATCGACTTGTGTGATAATTAAACAGTCGATCTCCAAGTCTAAGAAAACGAGTAGAGGACTTGAAGAAGATAGAATGATGCAGAAGGAGAAGCTAGCAAAAATGTCATGACATGACAAAGTGGTAGATTTAATGAATTTTTATGTAGTTTGAAAATATGGTCATGACGTATATCTTATGTTTTATGTTTGTATCCAGATAATTGACAATTGTTATGTGAGCTATTTATTTGAGTAATTAATTTTTAATGAATTTATTGTTTTCTTTCATTTTTCCTAATTATAATTTAGTTTAATACAAAATTAGTATTAATGGTCGTGTGTATACGTCGGTTTTGAAAGAGACGTTAATGTGATGCTTTTGAATCATTTTTTAAACCGTCGTTAAAATATAAAAAATAACGCTAGTATATTTGACGTTAAACATAACGTCGCTTCTTAGAGTGAAGTAAAATAAGTTAACGTCGGCCAATAATAATACGTCAGTTACAAAACTGACTTTAAGTTATTAAAGTCGGTTAATAAGTGACGTTAAGGTAAATAAAAACTGACGTTAATAGCCTTCTTTTTTGTAGTAATTATAATCATGAAATCTTCTCTAGGATTTAAGCTATTGTCAAATTTCCTTTCAAAAATATTTATGGGAATTTTGATTTGGAGAAATGCAAAGTAGTATCAATTTTAATTTTCATGATCCGTATATGATGCTATACAAAGTACAAACAACTTTTTTTTTTTTGATAAATTTTAATTATATTACCAAAAGGAACTTGAGGTATATGCTATTGCCTTTTTTTGGGACAAAAAGTATATGCTATTGCTATATACATATAGAATAGAACTTACCAGGTTATGAACCAACATTAATTTCTTGCAATATTTTGTTATCCCAATTGTCCAATTAATAAGCAAAGGATACCGACTTCTAGTTTTAGGACCTCTAGGTGCATGCATATACATATACATGAATTGTTTTTAAATTGATGATATATAACTAAATTAGCGTACACACTATCTTGCTTCTTCTTTTTTTGGACGTCACATTGGCTTTTGTTTGTTTGGTGAGTTTGGTCGACCCACATTAGCTTATTTTATATACACGATAAGAGATATATATTTTTATTCGCAATCGCCAGGCCCAATTTTATATATATGTACAAGGATATTTGTATGCATTCGTATTCAAGTGCTTCTTCTTTCTTTTTCGATCTGAATTGGGCTTTTCTCTTTTCATATTTTCTTCACTTTTCTTTCAATTTTATATTATTTTTATACTTTCTTGTATACACATATACGCAAATGTATACACTGAAATCAAATAAGGAAATATCAAATACGTAAAAGTATATCGTTATAAAAGAATACGTAAAGTAATGCTTGCCAATGATTGATTATCTTATCTAATCATTGGTATAATCTACGCACTTGCTACCAAATATTGCACTTATATAGAAATTGAAGCAACATATGTTTATGGAAACAATAAAAATGCATCACTCATCATTTGTGTAAGTTAAAGCACTTGGATTAAAAAGGATATATATCGACTACTTTGTTTGGTATATCTTTTAGGTTCTAATTTGTTTGGATGATTAAAGTTGTCTAGCTGAGGAAAAATTTGCATATTTATGTACTGTTAGTTTTGCTAAATTTAATAATAGGAATATAAATTCCATAATCCAACTACAACCTATCGTACACACATTTATCAATCATATGAAATAAAATTTTAACATTCTAAAAAGAGTTATCGAACTTACAACAACCTTTAACTATTCGGTGAAAACGTGAAAAAGTTGCATAGCATTCAAATCTTATAATTTCAATTATTTTTTAGAAAATGATAATGACGGTATAGTTTAAAGAAGAAATTGTTTTCAGAAATTCTGTTTTATTAGAAACTTTATTTGGATTCAAGCATGTGGCTCAACCATCGGGTATGCCAATTTTTTTGAATAAACACATTAATTAATCAATTAACTAAAAAATGTCAAAGTTAATAATTATTTTTCAGACAGATAAACAGTAAAATCAACAGGGGTTATATGTTAACAGTTAAATTTAATCAAGCAAAGCGACAATACACATGTCGGATTTGCTCATATCCTCAATAGTTCTGATGTCTTTGTAAGTTTCTATCCCAAAGCCAAAGCCTTCTGAAATTTAATTAAAAAAATATATTAAAAAGTGGACCAAAGACTTCCACAAACATTTTTTAGTTATACGGAATAATAAACCGTGAAAAGGTCAAAGGTAAATAAATAATACTAATAGCTTACAAATTAAGGTTTATCATTAGTTTCTTAATAAAATGGTCCTGAGGGCTATTCCAATTTTGATTTCGACACACCTTCGAATGTACCTTATTTTAAAAAACATGAAAGTATTGGTCGCTTGATTCTTGTCCTTTTTTAATTATCCCATGTATTCATAACTTACACAATAAAATAATATTTTCTTAAAAATTTAATAGAAAGTACATTATATATTTACTGAAAGCAATTGAATGGAGTAAAATTTGCCACGGTCAGAGTTATTCCTTTTTTAGTTCACTATTTTAGGTCCTCAATTCCTCAATTAATTGAGGCCAATTTGTCTTTTTGTAATCTCATTATATGCATCTTCTTTCTCTTTCTCATACCACCAAAAATGCCTTTTGCCCCTCTCTCTGTATCTCTAACCCATGTCTCCTCTTTATCTCTCTAACTTTCCCCTAGCTAGAGAGATTCCTCTTTGTCTCAAACTAGGGTTTTCTCTCTGAAAACAACAAAAACATCCCAATAATTGCAAATCTAGCTACTTGAAGATTTCTCATTCTCCTTCTTATAATTAATACCCAAGAGAGAAACAAGATCAAACCTTTTCAAGAAGTTATCAAGTAGGGGACCTTTTCTTGTTACTCCATTTAAAGGTAAGACCGAGATTGTTTCATTCTTCCATAGCCAATTCACATACACATTTGCATAATATATACTTTCTATGCTGATTGATTATATAAATTTAGAGAGTTTAGTTCATGAAAATTTGATCACTGATCTTGAACTTCCAAGTTAAATTTGGACGACTTTTTTATTTACAAAAAAACAAAAGTTACAATTGAACGTGAAATCTATAATTCGTGACTTCTTATAGATAGTGAAATTAACAATGACCCTTAAAGCATGTAATAAAGCTATATAACTAGGTCACAGATTCAAGATTTAAACCAATATGTTGATATAGATGCGGGAAACTCAGAGTCAGAGAGACAGCAGAGAGTGTTGTAATGAGGATAAAATAAGGAACATCTGCTAAACTAAAAGCCAAGAACAAAATTGTATGGTCAAAAGTGTTTGATTTCTTCGATTTTTAAGAAAATTATTATTCAACAATTTCCAAGATTTTTTTTTTTTTTCATTGGTTTTTCACTAGATTTGATGGCACCTAAATAAAGCCATGTTGTTGACAAAAAATCTAGCTCTAGTGTATAATATGAAAATATACATATTACCACACCTTAAAAATTCTTATGCAAATTCTCACATTTGAAATGAATGGCAAAATCTTTGAGGGTTTGTTTGTTTTGGAATTTGGACCAAGTAATACTCTAAACGTAAAACTAGTGTGAGTTACCTTCAATTCGAATTCAATATAGCAAACACAATTTTCTTCATATTCTTATTGTGTGTTAGATTCATTAATGACTTTGATTTCACATATTGTGCAAGTACATGTAGTATACTAGTATGCTTTGTATTATAGATTAGTCTCGCTTATGTCCCAAGATCTTATATTATGTAAGATTAATTGATTAGAAAGGAGTATCCAGTATCTATGTACATATGTGTTTAATTGAGATATTTAAATACAGATTTAGATGGTATAACATCTTTTTAATGGAGTAGGAATACCGAACACTACGAATAATGAATTTTAAGGATAAGAAGATAGGAATTAACATGCATCATACGTCTTATAACTAGTTATATTGATGATGAGACTATTATTTCTACTTTCCATTCTTACGAAGAATAATGATTTTTGAGGATAAAAAGACTAAGAACATCATACGTCTAGTAAGTAACTATATTGATGAGGAGACAATTATTGCTAATTTCCAACACAAAACGGACGAGTTCGAAAATGTATCTATTGTTTTAATGTGTACCGTACACGCACACACACACATAGACATTGTTGAAAAGATAGTGATGTATATATACAAAAGAGACTCGAACTAGAGAATTACAATATCGATGTGGATCAAGATTCATATCAATCTTATAATTTCGAGAACTCCTAACAAAATATGTAAATGTGATTAATTAAATAGTTTCTTTCATTTTTGCAACTATAAAATCAGGGGATATACAAGAAAAAATGTCAAACTACACAAACTCACCCTGTGCAGCATGCAAATTCCTCCGGCGTAAATGCACGTCAGACTGCGTATTCGCACCCTATTTTCCGCCGGAGGAACCTACAAAGTTTGCGAACGTCCACCGGATATTCGGGGCAAGTAATGTAAGCAAGATCCTTCACGAAGTAGCCCCGCATCAGCGGGAAGACGCTGTGAACTCGCTGGCTTACGAGGCAGAGGCACGACTTAATGATCCAGTGTATGGCTGCGTTGGAGCGATCTCGGTGCTCCAAAGACAGGTCTTGAGGTTGCAAAGGGAACTAGAGGAGACAAATGCTGATCTCATGAGGTACGCTAGTTGTCTTGGTAGTGAAACGACGTCGGCTTATGGTGGTCGGAGGGGTTGACTGGTCAACGGGAGTACGTTGATTAGTCATCATCACTCTTTGAGAGAATTAGCGGCGGTGAAGTATAAAGAGAGAGAGAGAGAGAGAGAGTGGATGGTTGATATGATGGAAGTGATGAGGATATCTTCGTATGTATATATGCCTATGGAGACATGCATGTATGCATCTTTATGTTTGTTTTCATGTATACACTTATGCGTATGTGTAATTTAACTTGTAATTTTCTTACATGGGAGGTCAAGAAATATTTTTGATGATGTTTAATAAGCAATAACTAGCTCTTGCTCTTGCTCATATCTCCCTAACTCTCCTTAACTTGATCTTGCTCCACTTACATGGGGCCTCGTTATTCACAAGTTTCGTAGTTTCTGCTTAAAGATTTATGTTCAAAAAAATGGTATCCCTTGCTTAATGTGTGTACACATATTCCATTGATTCTTGATAGATTTTCTAGCATTTTATAAAGTTATATTCAACGAATTATGCCAACGATGCAAAATTAATATTGAATTCTGATATTCAAAAGCATAAAATTTCATGTCGACGGTTTTGTATAGACTCATAGGAATGTAGCTAGGCTAATAATTGGTTATTTGATTACACACACCATGTTGCTAATATTCTAAGTTAGTTGAGTGATTTTATATATTTGTCGAGTTGAGAAAAAGTTTAAATACATTAATCAATTGCTGGAAGGGAATATTGTTAAAATGGGCATTATTTGGCCCAAAACTTTCAAAAATGGAATGTCTTCCAGGCCTTATGAATTTAGGCATTTTGGGGCCAGGGGAAAAGACTGTTTTGTCCCTCTGTATCTTCTCCTTCCTTCTGACGACAACCATGGCTTTCTCCTTCCTTTGGATTCATCTCCCAACAACTCTCGCTTTCCAGGCCATAAACCTCGCTTCTCAACACCTCCACCGCCAACACCATCTCCATCCGTCGTCAACAAGATCTTTGATTCGAAACACAAAACCTCTCCGTCGCCCATACCATCTTAGATCCGATGATTTCAGTGGATTCAATTAATTTCGTTTTGAATCAAGGAAGCTAAACCCTATGGGGAATCTAGTAAACCCAAGGGCTCCAATCTAAACCATCAATCGAATCAAAACTTCCAATTCTATTTTAAATCTAAACAAAATTAGGTATCGGATCTCATCATCTCATCATCTCATCATCGTGACCAACATCTTGTTCACCATATATAACTCATCATTCTCATCACATCTCAACATCTTCATCACCATCTCCTTTACCGGATCTCATCACCACCACCATCGCAAATCATCGTCATTCGTCGACGGAAGATTTTTTTTCTTTTTCTTTCAGCCCATATTGGTGAGGATAATAACGTCATTTTGCTACGCTGTGAAATGCTTAAAACTGAATGCTTGGTAATCTGACCTAAATCGATAATTTTTGGTGGAATAAATGCCAACCCGGTAATTGATTCATTGCTGGAAACATCAAATTTTCGTAGCTTTATTTAGGCACATGTCTTCATAGGGAATCTCTTTTTAAAGTCGGTCTTTCTTTAATTTTATGTCATTTGGCACACAAACAACCACATATATTTTACATACAAATGACCTATCTTGTCAAAAGAAAAAATAACAAATCTAACTTTTCTTTTCGATATTTAAGATTGCTAATGATTTCTAATAGTTTTTTAAAGATTGAATATGATACCCAAATCATAAGTTAAACCAACAGCTTAAATATTCATGTATCTTAAGATATTGTATAGTTTTTAGTTTTGGGTAGGACTGAGCACGATTACTCGTTATTCATTCTGTATCCGTTACTTGTTTCATATCTGTTTTGAAAAATCAAATATCTATCTAAGACAAATAACAAGCAATATAATTTAGATACTGTACTTGCAAATTTAAATCAAGTAACAAGTAATTAAAAAAATTGATAACCCGATTGTTTTACGTTACTCATTTTTATTTTATCATTATATATATATATATATATATATATATATATATTGTATTATATTAGATTTTAAAAGCACATTTAAAAGTTAGATCAAAAAGTAAAATAAATTTTAAGTATGTAAAAAATGAAATATAATTAAGAAATAATTGCAAGTAACTTGTAAGTAATCAACAAGTAACTCGCAAGTAACAAATAATAAAATAAAACAAGTAATTCGTAAGTAAATCATTTTTTAGCAAGTACTTGTAATAATTTTTTATCACTATTTTTTGAAATTATTTCTTTATGTTTACTGTTATGTTGGACATTTTTTCTTTTTCTGTTTTCAATTTTCTTTTTCACCGCTCTATTTATTGGTAACAAAGTTGCGCAAAGAAATACCATGACACATCATATTTATATGCTTTAATACTCTTTACATCAAGGGATTATTGTTAATTTTGCCTTTTTTCATCAAATTTTTTTGAAAATGCCATTTTTACTAAAATCTTACGGATTTGCTATTTTTTAACACTTGAAAATTTACGTATATATGATTTTTTTTTGCAAAAATACGTACTTTATATTAAATACTAAACCTTAAAAACAAATGAAACCGACTAAACCCAAATATAACCGGTAAAACGCATATTAAATCACATTTTTATAACCTAAAAAGGACGAAATTCACAAACTATTCGAAAAAGGACGAAATCCATTAAAAAAAATAGCAAATCCGTAATTGATTCTTACATCAATTGTGCTTGGAACAAATAGCGACAACTTTTAGGAGAAATCTATTGACTTATTTAACAATGATCTAGTCGAATGTGTATATTATTCACATGTTGATATTATATGTGAATGCAATTATGCAATAAACGGACAAATACTGATATATTTCTTTGACTTCCATGCATGGATTTACATGTCGACAATCAAGACACGGGGATTCAAGATTTGTTGTTCAGACAAACATTAGTCATTTTCAGAAACAGTAACTAAAGGTACATTCAATTTTTAACTCTTTTCAAATAAACATTTTATATATATCACACTATCACTATCTACTGCAGAAATATGATTGTTTTGCCATGTGATATATCATATCATATTGTATTCATCTTAAGACTTTTCCTCAATTATTCCCTCCATCACTTTCATTCTCCCCTCTCATACTTTTTCTTTTCTCATAGAGGACGTTTTCTTTTATACCTAAATGTCATGGTCGAGAAGTCCTTGATGGCCTAGTGGTTTCAATGGGCTTTCTCACACACGACTGCCAGAGGTCGCGAGTTCGACTCTCTGTCGGCGGGGTAGAACTGAAACCTCTCCAAATAAATCCTGTTGTAGATGGCCCACGGGTTTCTATGACGCATTAAAGGATTTTCCTGGATATGGGGCCTTTCGGGGTGGGGTCAGTCACTATAAAAAGTTTACCCGTAACAGTTTGTATTAACATTCTTAGCAAAAAAAAAAAAAATGTCATGATCGATCCATTATTAACTAGTGATGTTATTGTGTCATTATACTTGGATTTAAATCCGCATACATGTTGTTGATTTCAAGAAAAACTAAACAATGATAACAAATCGTTATATTTTTTAATAAAAATTCTTATCTTATGCAATTGAGAAAGAAAAATCCATGGTTAATTTTTTTTTTTTTTTTGGTCAAAGGATTCACATACATTATTCTTACAATTAAACTTTTATATATTCAAGAACTGGACTTGTGACCATATCATAATCCAAAGAAACTATTGTACTAATGTCCCCATCCATAGAAAACCTACTGTTTTAGTACTTGCGATTTGAGCCATAGACATAACTTTTTACAGGTTAAATCCAAGTTTGAAATCAATCTCATCATTAAAAAGGTGAAGAGCACACAAAGAAAACGTAAATGGGTCATATTGGGCCCATTTTGTAGACCAAGAGAAAGTGAGAGAGACTTTGTCCTCTCGTTATCAAGTAGCAGTGGACCACCACTAAACCGCCCAATAGCTTCTGATCAAAATAGAAAGGTCCAATAACAGAAACAAATGAAAAAGCCTTGTTTCCTGGACGACGTCGTTTTCTCCTGTACGAATTGATTGATTCAAATAGTTTTTCTTCTTCTTCTTTGATTAGACCCCCGTAAGAAAAATGTTATTACTAACTAACGAAAGCCATTGGTTTTACACACTCATGTTTTGTGGATGATATATTAGTTTTTCCGGATGGGAAATAGAGTTCTATAGAGGGCATTCTGGCGATATTTGATAAGTTTGTAACAATGTCAGGACTGAAAATAAGTTTGGAGAAGTCGGTTTCTTGACAGGTTTAACACCACGCCTAATAGGGCTGCTCTACTTCATCAATTTCCCTTCGAACAATATATCAAACAAGTAAAAGATACCTCATATGAAGAAATCGGTGAACCACATAATCACATAACTTTCATATTGTAAAATAAATTTTGTTTGATATATATCATCATTTAATTATTTAGTATGAAGGTTACAAAAATATATGGTTTGCCTTCAATATTATCGTATCGTACTCATCAAATAATTGTAACTGTATTTAACCATAACCGTAATAATAGTATATATATATATATATATATATGTTTAAAGTTATGCAGTGATTAAAAGACTGTAATCGTAACTATAGTCATACCCACCACGAAAGTGGTGTGTTCTCTTGTTAAAAAAAGCGATCAACCAAGGTCTTCGGTATTAACAAAAAGAAACATAGGCTCTAAACGGTATTACGATAGTATACCAAAAATTCTCGTCGTATTCACTATTCAGCTAGATATCATTCAGTAGTTTTATGAGCTTGCTATCTAAAAACTTTAGTCAAATTTAACAATTTAACAAAAAGATACCAACTTTCAGCTAAATTCAACTAGAATATGTAGCAAAATTGTTAAATTTTATAGAAGAAAAATAGTATATTGATTTATGTTTGATGAGTTCACGAGTCTAAGATATATATTATATATATATAGTGATTACAATTTTTTTTTGTTAAAGGGTTTTCTTGAATAATATAAAAGTTTACAAAGGAGCCTAGATAACCACTCATCTATTACAAAACAGAAAGAGAAGGATGGCTAGCTTATAAAGCTAGAATGAGAATGAGAAGAGTAAATCAAAGGTGAGGAAGAAGTAGAAGAGAGGAGAAAACGTAATCCATGACTAAGTAACATCTTCCATGGAACAGAAGCAAAGCTAGTGACTTTCCCAGCAACGGAGAAGGGATAAACGGTCTGGATAATGTAGGACAAGACTTTGAGCTCTGTTTGTGCAAGCATTCAGAACATTGCAGTAAACAGAAGATGGGGGAAGGGTTTTTCCACTGTGATACCTACGGTTCCTCTC